GGCTTTGGCTCTCTCCCACTCTAACCTCTTTTTTTTTTTTTTTCCTTCCCCTCCCCCATGGGTTCCTGTCAAGTTTCTCAGGATCCACATAAGAGTGAAACCATATGGTATCTGTCTTTCTCTGTATGGCTTATTTCACTTAGCATCACACTCTCCAGTTCCATCCACGTTGCTACAAAAGGCCATATTTCATTTTTTCTCATTGCCACGTAGTATTCCATAGTGTATATAAGCCACAATTTCTTTATCCATTCATCAGTTGATGGACATTTAGGCTCTTTCCATCATTTGGCTATTGTTGAGAGTGCTGCTATGAACATTGGGGTACAAGTGCCCCTATGCATCAGTACTCCTGTGTCCCTTGGATAAATTCCTAGCAGTGCTATTGCTGGGTCATAGGGTAGGTCTATTTTTAATTTTCTGAGGAACCTCCACACTGCTTTCCAGAGCGGCTGCACCAATTTGCATTCCCACCAACAGTGCAAGAGGGTTCCCGTTTCTCCACATCCTCTCCAGCATCTATAGTCTCCTGATTTGTTCATTTTGGCCACTCTGACTGGCGTGAGGTGATACCTGAGTGTGGTAACAAAGTATTTTTAAAATTAACATATGTGCATTGTTTTTTAGACTCAATGCTATTGCATACTTAATAGACTATAGCATAGCTGAAACATAACTTTTATATGCACTAGGAGACAAAACAGTCATTTGACTTGCTTTATTGCAATATTTGTATGATTGCACTGGTCTGGAACTGAACCCGCAATAATTCTGAGGTATGCCTGTACCTTATCTGACAAATAAAAAACAATTGATAAATTCATCATATGTACCATCAAATAACTGTAGTTTTTTTTTTTTTTTTTGCAAACTGTTGTCATTCAAGGGGTAAAGTTTATTTTTAATATTCTGAAGTCTTTATCTCTCTCCTATCCTAATATCACCTAATACCAAATTACTGTAAAACGCTCCTTACATACTGCTGTTTGTTTTTTGCTTTGGGAAAAGAATCAGGGTGAGAACTGACAATGTGATTTACTTCATGCTGCACAGGAAATTCACAAATAGAGCCAACACGGAGAGCGCTGTTATTCCCAGTAATTGACATTATCCAAGCTAAATTACATTACCTACGAAGTTTGAATAATAACCAAACATAGTCTAGGAGTTCTTTGGAATTGCTTTCTGACTCGAAAAAAACAAACAGGGTTTCCTCAACTCACCTTTACTTATTTCTTTGGGACCAAGTTATCACTGTCAACCTTATGATCTACTGCGCGCTTCTGAAATGTGATTCTTGTCATTCTTTGTGTCCCCTGAATAAACTGCTTAATTTGGTCCCGAAAAAGAAGTGTCTACAAAATGATTAAGGTAATGTTGTGTAATTACGTACGCTGTCACAATGTAATTAACGTGATAACTAGGCAAAGATATAACCTTAGATATCCTATAGGACACGTTCTCACATTACAAAAATTTTTTTTATGTTTATTTTTGAGAGCAAGAGAGACAGAGCACGAGTGGGGGAGGGGCAGAGAGAGAGAGGGAGACACAGAATCCGAAGCAGGCTCCAGGCTCTGAGCTGTCGGCACAGCTCGATGTGGGGCTCGAAATCACAGACAGTGAGATCATGACCTGAGCCGGGTCGGCAGCTCAACCGACTGAGCCACCCAGGGCCCCCGGCATGTTCTCACATTTAATGGAGATAGTATAATTTATGGAGGTTGATAGCTAATCTGCCTTTCACCGCACACACACTCAGGCCAAGTAAAAGAGGGGAATAAAGAGGCAGCAATTTCGCGGGTTCAAGTGGCTGAGAGTGCTTTAGGCATTTTGCTGATCTTTAAATACACTGTCGCTCAAATAAATCTTTAAGCTTCCTGAGTGGACTGTACAATAGGCTGTGGTTTCATTTGAAGATTTTCCCACATTCCTTCCACCACCCGTGAACTGCTGTATAACACACGGACACCAGGAAAGATAGAATGACACGTTTCAGAGCATTTTGGAAGGTTGAATATTGTTCAACCTGGATCCTCTTGTGTAATGGCTCCAGGACCCCACTGCACATCAATCTTATCTGAGGATCTTTAAGAAATATATATGCCTAGGGGCACCTGGGTGGCTCAGTCGGTTAAGCGTCCGACTTCGGCTCAGGTCATGATCTCATGGTCCGTGAGTTCGAGCCCCGCGTCGGGCTGACAGCTCAGAGCCTGGAGCCTGCTTCGGATTCTGTGTCTCCCTCTCTCTCTGACCCTCCCCCATTCATGCTCTGTCTCTCTCTGTCTCAAAAAGAAATAAACATTAAAAAAATTAAAAAAAAAAAAAAGAAATATACATGCCTATCCTCATCCTTGGTGTTAGGATTAACTTTGGCCAGGGTGGAGGGAGAGGTTTGGGGGAAGATACTCCTGCTTTAGTATAAACTCTTTCTGTTCAATATGATGAAACAGACCTAGGGAAGGGAGGCTACAAGGCAAAGGTCATAGCAGTGAGTAGCAGGGGTAACACTCCTAAGACTGTGTCTCTCCATTTTTGTTACATCATATCCTTTTCTGAAAAACGTTAGAAAGTAAAACCTTTATTCAATAACTGAGATTTCAATTTTTTAATGTTTATTTTTGAAAGAGAGACAGAGCGCAGTTGGGGAGGGGCAGAGAGAGAGGGAGACACAGAATCCGAAGCAGGCTCCAGGCTCTGAGCTGTCAGCACAGAGCCCGACGTGGGGCTCAAACTCACAAACCGTGAGCTCATGACCTGAGCCGAAGTCGGAGGCCTAACTGACTGAGCCACCCAGGTGCCCCAAAAGCACATGTTTTAGGTGACTGTATTCAGCTATCTTTTGATTTTGTATAAGGAATTTAAAAATCTTAATTTTTAATTGGTCAAATTTATCAAATTTTTTTTTTTTTTTGCCATGGGGCAATGACTGTGATTATCTTGGACTAACGAAACTTTAATTGTTGGGGCTGGGGAGAGAAGTAGGTCATGTCATCAGGGTATAAAAGTTGGAACCCTATTGACAATAAAGAAAGGAAGCGAGGGTGGATTTGGGGCAGGCAACCTACAGTGTCTGCTGTGCTAAAGCACAGCCCATAAGATCCTATATGGTATGGCCCATCCTTATTCTTCTGTCCTCATCTACTCCCCTCACCCATCTATACTGCCATTCACTGTGTTCTACTTTAGAGTCTTTATAATTTCTGCTTGTTGTGGAAGGAAATGACTGGGTAAGAAACCAACACTGTCTGTCAAAAGCCCATTTTCATATCCTTTATTTTATCACCCAAACAAGTTAACCGAGGTAGGAAGGGGAAACTCAAGGTGGGGGCCACTTCCCCTTCTAATAATCTTGCTCACATTCTCTCTCCTGCTCACCTAATATAGTGGCAAAATGTTTTGTGTACCTTAATGTGTTCTCATATGGTGCCTCGCTTGATTCTTATGCAAGATCCACAAGGTAGGCAGAAGAGCCCAGAGAAGTCAAGTGATCTACCTAGAATCATCCAAGTGACTCTTGGATCAAAAACTATTTTACCTTTCCATGCTACCCAGGGAGGGGTCCGTATGGCGTTGGTTTGCATTCCCGTCGTAAGTTAAAGGGGAACTTTCACAATGGCCAGAGCCCTTGACGTCCTGCAAATGAAGGAGGACGATGTCCTCAAATTCCTTGCAGCAGCAACCCACGCAGGTGGTGCCAACCTTGACTTCAAATTGGCACAATACGTCTACAAAAGAGAAGTGATGGTATCTGCATCATAAATCCGAAGAGAACCCGGGAGAAGCTTCTGCCAGCACCTCGAGCCACTGTTGTCATTGAAAACCCAGCTGATGTCAGTGTCCTATCATCCAGGAATACTGGCCAGCAAGGTGTGCTGAAGTTTGCTGCTACAACTGGAGCCTCTACTACTGCTGGTAACTTCACTTCTGGAACCTTCACTAAACCAGATCCAGGCAGCCTTCTGGGAGCCGAAACCTCTGGAGTTTACTGGTCCTGGGGCTGACCACCAGCCTCTCACAGAGGCGTCTTATGGTAAGCTGCCCACCAACACTCCGCCATTGCCACCCACTGCAACAGCAAGGGAGCTCGTTCAGTGCGTCCGATGTGGTGGCTGCTGGCCTGGGACGTTCTGTGCATGCGTGACACCGTTTCCCGTGAGCCTGCAGGGGAGGTCATGCCTGATCTCGACGTCTAGAAAGATCCTGAGGGGACGGAAAAAGGAAGAGAAGGCTGCTGCTGAAAAGGCTGTGACCGAGGAAGAATTTCAGGGTGAATGGATGGCTCCAACTCCTGAGTTCATCGCTACCCAACCTGAAGTCACAGACTTATTCAGCAGAACCCGACTGAAGACTGGAGCCCTCGGCCTGCCGTCGAAGGCTGGTCTGCAGCTCCCACTGCTCAGGCCACTGAATGGGTACGAACAACCGCTGAGTGGTCTCAAGCGGCTCTCCCACAAGGGCAAACAAAATGGAAGTAACGATGACGGAAAATCAACAGTCGCTCACAAAACAATTCTTTCACACAACTGTGACTCCTTACGCCTTGGTCCGTACAGTCTTTCAATTGACCGTTCACTGTTAACTGTGATCATACTCCCACTTCTTTCATTTGAGAAACACTGCACTAGATAATAACAGGGGACCGTTTGGACAAAAGAGCCGAAAGAAACTGTAGAAAGAGAATGAATTTAGTCGAGGGGGAAATATATGCCAAATCACGCCTAGGTCTCAGCACTCAGGCAGTAGGAAATCTGAGCCCGCAGTCCAGTTAAGCCAGCCATTTGCATAAACCTCAGCAGGAAACTCCAGAATGGCTTTGCACCTGTTCCAAAATATTGGCAAACGAAGCGCTTTGAAACAGGCCAACCAGGGTGCATTGGAAGTAGGCTTCAGAGGCTCGCTCATGCCTAGCCAGTTTGCAGTAAGCCCAGATGGTCTCATACTGTGTTGCTTATATCATACATGATGGCTGTGGATTCTGACATTCAAATATCTATTGCAACATCCATTATTTTCAGTCCCCCCACCCAAAAGATGAAAGCAGCGAAAAACAAAGCCATCCCCCTCCTAACTAAAATCAGATTGATTGTGACCATTATCATGAATTATGTACTTCTGTTTACCTGATAATTGCTTGAGGTATCATAATATATGACTGGGCCTGACGAGCCGTTTTCATTCGAATACACCGTCTGAAAAAAGCCTAATTTCCTTTGTTTAGGTGTGTGGGTTTAAATGTGTACGTCTGTTTGTGCAGGTGGTTTTGCGTTGTACACGTTCTATGTAGGAAATAATTTTTGCTGTTTTATTTTTTCCTCTAAGTGAAAGCGTGCCTAATAGGACATTTACAGGGCTATACATGAGCTTAATTAGAAAGATGCGATTAACATTATGAGTCTTCTGTTCGGCTTCTTATGTGCTTAACAGTGTACTATCCTGTACCTCCCTCAAGCCTCTTACCCAAACCCTACTTTCATCCCTAGATGTATTGTCTATATTATATATATATATTTTTTAATTTTTTTAATGTTTATTTATTTTTGAGACAGAGACAGAGCATGAATGGGGGAGGGGCAGAGAGAGAGGGAGACACAGAATCGGAAACAGGCTCCAGGCTCTGAGCTGTCAGCACAGAGCCCGACGCGGGGCTCGAACTCACGGACCGTGAGATCATGACCTGAGCCGAAGTCGGACGCTTAACTGACTGAGCCACCCAGGCGCCCCTGTCTATATTATATTTGTATTAAAATATAGCTCACTGGTTTCCTTTACCATTGGAGTAAATGCTTTGCATGGTCTATTTTTATTATTTAAGCGATTTTCTTTGTTCCTAAATTTCAGTGATTTGGAAAATAATATTTTAAGGGACAGAATATTTAAAATGAAAATATTCAGTGGAACAGAATAGAGTCTATAAAGAGACCCATGCTTGGGTTTGATCTTAGGTAAGCTATTAAATTGCCCTAAGTTCCATTTTATGCATAAAAAAAGGGACGATTTTCATACTTCTCTAAAAAGTTTGAATGATTGAATACTTAATGAAGCATAAGGGAACACTTCTATATTCATCCTATGAGGCAAGCATTACCCTGATATTAAAACTCAGACAAGGACACTACAAGAAAAGGAAACTACAGGCCAATATACCTAAAGAACAGGGATGCAAAAATCCTCAACAAAACATTAGCAAACTGAATTCAATAATAGATTAAAAGGATAATTCGCCATAATTAAATGGGATTTATTCCAGAAATGCAAGACGGTTCGACATCTGCAAATCATGTGATACACTACATTAATCAAATGAAGGATAAATATCATATGACTGTCTTAATAGATGCAGAAAATGTATGCAACAAAATTCAACATCCATTCACGATAAAAGCTCTCAACAAAGTGGATATGGAGGGAACGTACTTCAATAAAGCCCGTGTATGAGAAACCCACAGCTAACATCAGACTCAATGGTGAAAAGCTGAAAGCTTTTCTTCTAAGATCAGGGACAAATAAGTATGTCCACTCTTACCACTTTCATTCATATAGTGCTGGAAGTCCTAGTCAGAACAATTTGGTAAGAAAAAAGAAATACAAGGCACCCAAATACGAATGGAAGAATTACATCTGTCTCCATTTGCAGACGGCATAATATTACACATAGAAAACATTAAAGACTCCACCAAAACATGGCTGCAATAAACAAATAACTTCAGTTGAGTCACAGGATACAAAATCAATATACAAAAGTCAGCTGCATTTTATACACTAATAATGAACTATCAGAGAGTAAAATTAAGAATCACACTTATAATTGCATCAAAATAACAAGATACCTAGGAATAATAAACCACCAAGAAGGTGAAGGATCTTATGCTGAAAACTGTAAGAAATTGATGAAAGAAACTGAAGAGGTCACAAAAATTGGAAAGATATTCCATGCTCAGGGATTGGAGGAATTCATAGTGTTAAAATGTCCATACTACTCAAAGCATTCTACAGATTCAGTTGCAATCCCTACCCAAATTCCAATGGCAATTTTCACAGACATAGAATAAAAAAATCTTAAAATTTGTATGGAACCACACACACATAAAAAAAAAACCCAAATAGCAAAAGCAATCTTGAGAAAGAAGAGTTTTTGAGAAAGAGAGAGAGAAGGAGACAGAGACAGAGACAGAACATGAGTGGGGGAGGGGCAGAGAGAGAGGGAGACACAGAATCCGAAGCAGGCTCCAGGCTCTGAGCTGTCAGCACAGAGCCTGACGTAGGGCTCGAACTCACAAACCGTGAGATCGTAACCTGAGCTGAAGTCGGAGGCTTAACCGACTGAACCACCCAGGTGCCCCAAAAGCATATGTTTTAGGTGAATGTGTTCAGCTATCTTTTAATTCCATCAGATCAATGGAATAGAATAGACGGCCCAGAAACAAACCCATGGATATACAGTCGGTTAATTTATGACAATAGAGCCAAAAATACATAATAGAGAAAGGACAGCCACTTCAATAATTGTTGGGAAAACTGGACAGCCATATTCAAAAGAATGAAACTGGATCCCTATCTTACACCATATACAAAAATCAACTCAAAATGGATTAAGGACTAAATCATAGGATCGAAAGCCATAAACCTGCTAGAGAAGAGAAAACATAGTGGGTAATGTCTTTGACATCAGTCTTGGCAAAGTAAAAAGCTTCTGCACAGTCACGAAAACTACCAACAAAATGAAAAGGCCACCTAAGGAATGGGAAGAAATATTTATAAATCACATATCGGATAAAAGGTTAATATCCAAAATACATAAAGAACTCATACAACTCAAAAAGCAAACAGTATAAAAAAATTATAGAACTCGCCAATAAACAAAAGTGAAAAGCAGACTAACGTCTCAGGAGAATAAGGGGCAGAGGCTTTAAACAGATATTCTATCTAAAAGAAAATAGAGGGGCGCCTGGGTGGCTCAGTCGGTTCAGGGTCCGACTTCGGCTCAGGTCGCGATCTCACGGTTGGTGAGCTGGTTGGTGAGTTCGAGCCCCGCTTTGGGCTCGTTGCTGTCAGCACGGAGACAGCTTCTAATCCTCTGCCCTCCTCCTCTCACTGCCCTTTCCTCCACTCAAAAATAAAAATAAACATGAAAAAAAAGATTCTCTCTCTCGCCCTCTGCCTCTCCACCCCATTCGCTTGTGCTGTCTCTCTCTCTCAAAAAATAATTAATTAATTAATTAATTAATTAAAAAAAAAAAAAAAGAAAATAGAAATGACCGAAGTCAGTACTCAGACTTTATTAGCAATCAGGGAATCTGGTGAATCCTGAATTCTACTCCCTCTACTACTGCCTTTCATGTAGTGATCATAACAGGAGAGGAAATGTGAGTTCATTAGTTACAGTGAGCTGAATTGTATGCCTTCCAAAAGATACGCCAATATCCTAATCCCCAAAACCTTTCAATATTACCTTACATGGGAAAATATCGGGTTGATTTAAGTGTCTTAAGAAGAGAAGTTTATCTTGGATTATTGGGATGGACCCTAAGTGCAGTCACAGGTGTCCTTATAAGAGAGGGGTAGAGGGACTTTTGACACACGCAGAGAGAAAAAAGCAATGCGAACACGGAATCCAAAATTAGGCTGGTGCAATCAACAAGCCAAGAAATACCAAGCAATGCTGACGGTCACCAGATCCCAGAGGAGACAAGGAACGGATTCTCCCTTAGAGCCAGAGGGACTGTGGCTCTTCCGACACCATGACTTTAGATTTCTGGTTTCCAGAACTGGGAGATAATTGATTTCTGATTTCTGTTGTTTTAAGATACCAAGTCTGTGGCCATTTGTGACGACAGTCCTAGGAAATGAATACACTAATATTTGCTTATCTAATCTGGCCAATAGAAAGGATGGGCAGGTGCTCTGATGGTCCTTAAATGCAACACAATTGGTTTCTGCTTTCCTCAATACCACCCATCTAAAAACAATTGTTTCCCTCTCATTTTGAAAAAAAAAACAAATTAAAGATTGATAATATCCAGTATTAGCAAAATATGAGTCAAAGTTCCATCTCATACACTCCTCATTAGAAGAGTACACTCTTATTAGTACAGTCTTTTAGAATAATTGTCAACGACTATTCAATTTTTTTTTAAGTTTATTCATTTATTTTGAGAGAGAGAGCATGCACACAAGCTGGGCAGGGGGAAAGAGAGAGAGAGAACGAGAGAATCCCAGGCAGGCTCGGCACTGACAGAGCAGAGCCTGACATGGGGTTCGAGGTCAGGAACTGTGAGACAATGACCTGAGCTGAAATCAAGAGTCCCGACTGAGCCACTCAGGTGCCCAATGCCTATTTAGTTTTAAAGCCTACACAGGGGGGCGCCTGAGTGGCTCAGTCAGTTAAGCATCCAACTTTCGCTCAAGTCATGATCTCAGCTCAAGTCACGGTCTCAGAGTTCCCGAGTTTGAGCCCCGCGTCGGGCTCTGTCCTGACAGCTCAGAGCCTGGAGCCTGCTTCGGATTCTGTGCCTTCCTCTCTCTCTGCCCCTCTCCCCCGCCCCTCTCTCTCAAAAATAAATAAACATTAAAAACTTTTTTAAATAAAAAAACAAAGCCTGCACAGCCATTCTACCTCTAAGTCTATTCTG